TGTACCCAGCGGGTGTCGCGAGGCAGTTTGTTTTTTGGTTTGGTGTTTGGAGGTCCGAGGATGCGTGCGAGCAACACCTTGTCCACGCACAGGCGTCCTACACGGCCGATGCTTGGCCATACCAGAAGAGCCACCGCCAAGCACTGCGTAGTTTCTCTGAAGAAGGATTTTCCTCTGTCGCCCATTAGTTCCTAATGCGGTAATGCATGATCGTTTTTATCATAGTTTGTTTCCTCACCGTTGTTATGGTTGGGCGGGGAGGCGGAGGAACTGCCGACTGAGGATCCCTAGCTTCTATTGCCGATGCTCTGCAACACTTGGTGGGACTCAACCAACTGCACGGATATCGTGCCCCTGTGGGATAGCAACCAACTGCACTGCTGTCTTCATCGTCATCTTCGTTTTTCATCGCCACTGAAGCTCAATTCAAGGCTTGCTTTGAGGACCTGCGTCCCGGGAAATCTTGACACAGCAGCAGAAACCCCAGACCAGATGGACAGTGAGGAAGCGGCCTTTGCAGCGTTCACCACAGTTGGTGGGGAAACGATCACCCTGGACCCCCCAGCTCGTCTGGAGGACGAGGTGGCTGACATCAGGCGGCGTGTGGGGGCGGCGGTGGGCGTGCACCAGAAGCAGGTCGTCTTACTGTACGGGCCCGCCGAGCTGCTCGACGCAGATCCCCAGGTGGACTGCCAAGCGCATACCCTGGGGACGTCGCTCGGGAAGGACGGCGGTCCACACGTCGTCAGCGTAATGCTGCAACTGTGCAAGATTCGACCAGCAGACTACGAGTCGTATATCGACCGAGAGGCGGTGGGATTCCTAGGTGTGGACGAGATGGTTCACCAGTTCGGGCATCCCGCCACGCCTTGTCCGTCGGGTCAGCTAGCTCCCTCGACGGATCCCGAAGAGTGCCTGAAAGCCTCCCAAGCGTGGGGGGATCTGCTCGGACACCCGGCGCCGCGTGTGGAGTTCCCGCCGCCGCAAGGCATCGACATCAACATGATGCCTTTCATCATGGGCCGAAAAAGCTCGGTCCCTCTGTTCTGCCAGCACTACTGACCTCTCATCGAGAGGTGCCTGGATCGGCTAGATCGGCAGGAGGAGGGCAAGGTCGGGTACCTAACAATCCAAGAAGGCCTCGTCAAGAAGGGCTGCGCCCAGGGCCGCCCGGGCCTCCATATCGAGGGCCCGGGTGCGCTTCGCACGCCAGGCAGCTTCAAAGAGCAGCGCTTATACTGGGGGTGTGGCCCTGGGGGAGCGTCCATCGTCCGTCAAGATTTCTCGCAGGTCATGGGCGGCATATTCATGGCCTCCACCGTGGACGAGTCTCCTGCAGAGTCTGGAACGTGTAGGTGCGGGATCCTGCGTCGGTCGTCGGGCGGCTGGGTGACCTGGAGCACGTCAGAAACGTGCTGGGCGAGGGCACGTGCATGAAGGCTGGGAAACTCTACTGGACCACGGACTTGACACCGCACCAGGCCCTGCCGGTGGAAGCCGACACTTACCGCCAGTGTTTCCGCCTCGTCACCAGCTCCCTTTTAGCGTGGTACTGTCGGGGCCCTGAAGAAGGAACCCTTTCCGTTGGGGAGGGGCTCCGCGTTCCTTAGGTGTTTCGCAGCTTGCCTCAGGTTTTCCTTAGGTTTCGATGGGAAATCGACCTTTCTCTGATGGGAAAAAGGGGCCTCGTTCCTTGTTTTGGGTTCCTTAGGTCAACACCCCGACTGTATCCGGAGAATGCCACGCGGAGCCCACTAGCAGAGCCAGACCCCGCGATCACGGAGATCGTCTCCGGCAACGTGTTCGCACAGGGAGGCGCGCGGGGCGGGGCGGCCGCGGGCCCCGCCGAGAGCCCAGGGCATTGTGCAGCCCGGAGCGCGAAGCGGCCACGGCAGGCCGCAAGTTGTGTTCGCCTCTCGCGGCTCGTACAGTAGACTTAGGTCGGGCCTGTCCCTCTACAGGAGGCCTGGCATCGCTCGGACGTGTGCGTTTTTTCCTCGGCGAGGACCATCGAGGAGCATCCTTGATCATTTGCCGAAAAAACCACGCACGAAACCGAAAACATCACAGGGAATGGACGTCCGAGCGATGGCGAGGAGGAGTACTCAAAAATAGTAAAACATAGTCTGGGGACGATTTTTGAGTTCTTTTTTTTGGCTATGTCTGAGTCTTGTTTCGAGTATTGCTGATTTTTCGTCCGACATCGGCCTGTAGGGGGACATGCCCGATCTGAGCGTAAAGTGAGAAACTGGCCTGCCAGCAGGTGTCCCGCGGGAAAATCATACACCCCAGTTGGCCCCACTAGCCATCAAGCATCGACGAAGAATATGCTCCAAGCTTAGCTGCCTCGACACGCTTGGTTTGATACGCAACACGTGCCGTGCTCAAAACGTCCGTGTCCACACGCTGCGTGTTGGCTCAGCGTGTTGCCAGAACGTTTGGCGAAACTGTCGCGATATATCTACGCTTTCAGTCTACGTGTTGAGCTCCGTATCAATACGCCAAGTGTTGCGTGCGGCGTATCGGGGCAGCCAAGGCTCCAAGATTTCCTGCAGCAAGATGTCTTTTCGTACGTGTTTGCTGTAGGCTTCCTGCTGTTCTGCTGCTGCCCAGTCACTCGTCAACGTCTTTGTCGTCAACACAGGTGAGCTGATAAGGACTTTGTGCGTCCTTTCGTCCTGCTTCCCATCCTCCTCGTCCTCCTCCTCCTCCTCCCTCTTCTCCTCCTCCTCCTCCTCCTCTTCCTCCTCCGCGCGCTTCGAGCGGATGTGCCATGCCTCGCGTTTCCCCAAGGAGTTTAAGAACCCCTGGTAATCTCCCAAACCCAGGCCCTAAGTTGCCCACTAAGCAGTCAGCTCTATTCATTGATTTGGACATCAGCAGCTCCTCCTGCCCTCCTTCCTTTCCCCTCCTCTCCGCCTTTTCCTCCTCGTGGAGGAGGGGTGGAGGAAACACAGGGAGAGACGCTCACTACTTTTCCCGTTGTGGTGTCGCTGGGTCCCAGACCCGTCGTGTCTGGATGGCGCTCAAGTGCCGACAGCGATCAGCACGTAAGCGAGAAAACACCAGCGTGGACGTTATAAGTAAACAATCGAAGTAGAAGAGCATGTTCATCCCCAAGCAGTGCTTATACTGACGGGGTCCTAGCGGACATAAAAGAGATTGGCGAAAGTAGCTGGCCGATTTCGGTGGGCGGCTCTCGGTGGGCGGCTTTCGGTGGGCCTCTCCTCTTTTTTTGTTTTATGTTTCCCCCCCCCTCTCTCTCTTTTGCTGATGCATATTTTTTTTTGTTTTCTTCCGGGCCGTTGTGGGAACGTGTTGTGGCCTTCTTTGGTCGTCGAGGAGCCCTCTCAGGCCCTGGAGGGTACCTCTGGAGGCCCGCCTGGGCCATCTTGGGCCCCTCGTGCGCCGTCCTGGGGCAATCTTGGAGACCTTCTAGGCTATTCTGAGCCGACGGATGCCCAACATGGCGAGGATGCCATAATCCTTCCAGCACGCAAGGGCAATCACTGAGTTCGCCTCTAGGGCCCTCTTGAGAAACTGCGGCCTGGCACGGCGCTTGCAAAACCTTCGGAACATCCACTGCTTGGGGTTTTCCTCTGTTGTAGTATACTCCTCATTGGTCTTCCGTCTCGCTGTCGTCGCCGCCGTCATCATTATCGTCGTCGTCGTCCTTCTCCTCCTGCTCTTCCTTCTCCTCTTCCTCCTCCCCACTCCTCCCTCCTCTTCCTCCTCCTTCTCCTCCTCCTCCTCGCTCTTCTCCATTATCCTCCTCCCCCTCCTCTCCTCCTACTTTCCCCCTTTCTCACCCATTGTGTGTGAACTCCTTCATTTCTCCTCTTCTGCACTTCACTCGGTGCCCCTTCGGGCCCGCAGGTATTGGACACCACGTTGAGAGGAAGAGTGTGAAGAAGGGTAAAGCCTTCACCATCGTCTTTCTCATCCATCTTCGTTGCCGCCTGCCCCGACGGACGCTTGGGAGGGGATCGGCCCTTCGGTTCTCCCGTCCGTCGCACAGGCGATGAGCCCTCTCTTCTTTAGTCCCTTGTCCGTGCCAGCCCTCGTGCGGCAGGGCGGACAGCTCAGCCCAGATGGCGACCACCCCGCTTCAAGAGGGCGTGCCGCCCTCTGCGGCGGATGCCGCCGATCCCCCCCGCCGCGCGCGATTTGGCACGCAGTCTCGCGGCGATGGTGGACTCCGGCAGGCCCGCTCGAGGCGTCGGAGGGCTCGATTGATCTCCTCACCGTCTACGATGCCTTCGGCGATCCGAAGATTCGTGCCCCCCCGACTGGTGCCGCTTGCCCCGCCATTCGCCATCTACCTGTGTACAGACGGGGCGCTGAAGAAGGAACCCTTTTCGTTGGGGAGGGGCTCGATGTTCCTTAAGTGTTTCGCAGCTTGCCTCAGGTTTTCCTTATGTTTTCGATCGGAAACCGAAGTTTAACTCATGGAAAAAAGGGGCCTCGTTCCTTATTTTGGGTTCCTTAGGTCAAGCCCCCGACTGTACCTGTGTAGTTGTTAAGTGTCGTTTTCAGCCTGCAGGGCCATGTGCGGCGAGGAGGTTTCGGGCGAACCGCCCGGCCTGCCCTGCCGACTCGTCCTGTGGTGCGGCGGTGAGTCGTTCGCCGCGTGGAAGGAGGGATGGAGGAAGAGGAGGAGCAGGAGCAGGGGCAGGAGCAGGGGCAGGAAGACGAGGGAGGAGGGGGGGGGAGGAGGAGGAAGAGGAGGAGGAGGAGGAGGAGGAGGAGGAGGAGGAGGAGGAGGAGGAGGATCTGGGGGAGGGGAGGGAGGGACAGTACGCGGAGGGATGGATGAGAAGGGGGGGATGGAAGAGAATGCAGGTGGGAAGGAAGGGGCGGGGGTGGGGGGAGTTAGGGAGGGAGGAAGAGGGACGGGGGGGGGCGGCGGCGGAGCAGGGAGGGAGGGAAGAGGGATGGAGGAGAAGGGTCGAGTGGTGGAAAGCAGTTGCGAGGGGGGGCCTCCCTCCGCCTCCCCAGAGGGCGCGACGCTGGCTCTCCACCGCCTACGAGGGCGGCCCGCTCAAGCTCTGAGGCTGCCTGCTGGGATAAGTACCCGCCTCCGCTGCCTCAAGCCCTCGTCGTCGTCGTCGTCCTCCTCCTCCTCCTCCTCCTCCTCTCTTCCTCCCCCTCCTCTTCCTCCCCCTCCTCCTCCTCCTCCTCCTCCTCCTCCTACTTCTCCCCCTCCTGAGCGTCCAGCTCTATCTTGAATGTGCACAACTTGAAGATCAATGTAGCTCAACGTCGACAGGTCGTTGAACACTGGCACGACTATCAGCAATTGGCAGACGCCGACCTTTTTCGCAGCTCATTTGTTGTTGCTGGGGACTTCAATTATGACCCGCGGGACCCCAGACAGTATCTCCATCCTGAGCATATGCAGAAGACCGGCACGAGACGACACCACCATCAGCAGGTGTACTGGCGGAGGCTGCCGGGAGGATGACAGAGGTGTTTGCAGAGGTCCCGACACACTTCGACAGGCACTCGCAATCGGCGGCAGCGCTGGATCGATGCTTTGTCCTTTCCTGGGCACGTCATCATTGCGTACGAGGTGTTTTTTCGGGTCCATGCCATGCTGATCCTGCTGAACTGTCTGCTGGGCGGCTCAGCGACCATGGATTGATGCATCTGGTCATTCGCCCTCCCCCTGCGAGGCGTGACTAGAGAAGCATCGAGGCGTTCATCTTTCAGGATCCGCTGTACCGACAGATGCATCAGGAGCTGCGCGACCAGACGGAGCTCCCGCGAGGCGAGCCACTGGTGGCCTGGAGCGGGTGCAAGGAGCTAATGATCCTCGCTGCTCGCATGACCCGTGATGCGATCATGGCCAGCGTATCCTCCACGATGTCCTCATCGAGTGTTGCCCGAGCTATGGTGCTGCGGGCGACGGCGCGCGCTGTATGGCGCCAGGATGCGCGTACTGCGAGCACGTTCTGCTCCATTTCGCCTCTTGCAACTCAGCACTTGGCTGTGCAGGGAGACTGGGATTCCCTTCAGAATGTGGACGTCTTCGCTAACCAGATCAGACGCCGACCTGGCGACGCAAGCTCAGCAGGAAACGAAGGGGGCAGCACTTCGCGCGTCGACTGCGGGCAGGCGGCGCGAGTCTGATCACTGGCAGAAGGTGCAACGGCTGGCTCAGGCCAGGGGGCGTATTTGGCAACCATTTCGGCGTGCTTTGGCTCTGCAGGGGATCAGGGTCACGCGTGCCGACGATACGAAACCGAGGGTACTGCGCGATCCCGTGGATATGCTCCAGGCTCTGCGAGACCACTGGTCTCCGATCTTCGCAGACAAGGCGACCGCTTCTGATGCGGTGGAACGCTACCTGGGTGAGGTCATGCCGCCCGCCGCTCGCGGAGCACCCGCTCCCACTGCCGACGCTCTGGGATCTGGAGCACGTGGCGCGCCACGCGCGCCCGGCAGCTGCGGGCCTCGATATGCTGCCGCCTGGATGTCCTCGGACGGGTCGCTCGAGATTTTGCACGCGGTACTGCTGGAGCTCATGCGCGGCGCCTGGCCGCCTCCTGAATTCAATGACTCTGATGTGGTTCATCCCGAAATGTGACCAGCCGCCGTCGGCGACGGAATGGATTCGGACGCCAGGGGCCCTCGGGCCGTCCACTTTGAAGAACTCGGATGTGGAGCTCTGCGCTGCAGCTGGCAATCGCTGCTTGCGCGCGCTGGCCGAGCAGCGCGCTGACGACGTGCAGCGAGGCTTCATCCGGGGCTGGACCTTCACAGAGACAACACCATCTGGCAGCTGGACCTACAGGCGCGGACCCAAGGCGTCGCGCCATTTGTGGAGGAGCGTCGCCTGGCCATGTGCTCCTTCGATGTGGCGGCGGCGTTCCCGTCTCTGGCATGCCACTGGTTGTTCGCCAGCCTGCGGAGGTATGTGCTGCCCGCGGAATACCTTGTATTCGTGCAGGCGTTGTGCGGCGACCAGTGCTGCTGGGTTCGCTCTGGCTATGCACTACTCGTGCTGTGCCCCCTGGATTCCGGCGTTGCACAGGGGTGTCCCCTCAGCGGCACCCTATGGGCCCTGGCCTTCAGCCCATTCCTCGTTAGCATGCAGAGGATCTTGATTGAGCCTTCGAGCGTCGCCATAGCGAGGTGCGCCAGGATGGACATGGAGAGCGACCGGCATGTTCTCCGCAGGCGCTGCGGCAGCCTAGCGGCGTGCGCGGATGACCTCGGACTCATCGTGACCGCCCTCGCGCACATTACACGTTTGAAGCCGCACTTCGAGGCCATGTCGATTCTGGCGGGCCTCCGGCTTTAGCCGTCGAAGTGCGTTCAGATCCCGCTAGGGAGCATCCCGTCAGAAACCGACGCTGCAGCTCTCCGCGTGGAGCTGGGCATTCTCATGGAGGGCTTGGAGGAGTTCAGAATTGCGAGCTTCATGAAACACTTGGGCGTCAAACTCGGTCCAGGCGCAACGAACGAAATGCATCGGGCGGAGGCGTCAGGCAACTACCACACGCGCTTGTGCTTGCTCCAGGACTGCCCGGCGCCCAAGGAGGTGATCGTGTGCGACTGCACCGCGGCGTCGCTGCCCGTGCTGAGCTACCTCATGCAGTTCTTCGTCATAGACCTGGAGCTATACCTCAGCGAACTTGATGGTTTACATCGTGTCTTGCGGTGCCCTCCGAAGGCATTCGCCAGAAACGATCTGCTCAGCACGAGGTGCTGGGTGTCCAGGACGTCCTTCACGTCGATGCTCGCCCTGTCCTTCGCTACGATGTGGCGCGCCGCGGCGGTCACCATGCCGACGTGGCCGCGATGGCTGGAGAGCTTGCGCGAGCATGCGCTCGAGGAGGGATTGGCGACATTGGGGGTGCAGGGTCCGGGGTCTCCTCCGTGTTGGAAGGAACAATGAGCCATGGTCCAGACTTTCGATGATCACCTCTCGGCGTACCCTCACGCTCGTCTCCGTCGGGGCCCGGCGGGAGCTCGAGCAGCATGCGATGCGTTCCCAGGGACGCGACCGCGTCTCCGTCCAGAAGGCGATCTACTAGTTCATGGCCTAGGAGCTCATGATGATTCCATCCGCGTAACCATCGGGAGGAGATTGGAGAAATGGCTGGCTGAAGATTGCGAGGTGGTGCCCGGCGACCTCCAGGACCGTTGCTATCGTCTCCGCGCCACCCTCGTTGCCCCGAAGCCAGGGGGTGTTCTGGGCAGTGGTTGCAACCTTGGTTGGGGCCTGGCCGACAAGCCATCGAGTGCACGTGTTAGACGAGCGCCTGACGTGCAGGTTCGGTTGCCAGGCCGAGGACGACACATGCGATTACCTCTAATGCCCGCAGGCTTGGTATGTAGCCTCCCTCCGGCGATGGATCCTTTTAGCACGACTTATCGTCGGATTCGGCCTCGGGCTTCCGGATGAACATGTCGAGGATGATAAGCTTCAGTGAGCTGCATTGCGCATAGCTTTGATGTGCCACCTCTATAGCATCACTCGTCACGGAATCGCAGACAAAGCTTACGATTACAACCTGCAAACCAGTGCCCTGAGTGCTGCCCGACAGCGCATGTAGGCCTGGAGTTGCTTTCCTGGGCTTCGTGTCCTCCCCCTCCTCCTCCTCCTCCTTCTCCTCCTCCTCCTCCTCCTCCTCCTCCTCCTCTCCCTCCTCCCCCGCGCCCTCCTCCTCCGGCCTCCTCGTCCTCCTCCTTCTCTGTCGCGCCGTGGCAATGCGGGGCAATCAGATTTCGAATAACATCGAGAAGCTCCTGCTGATCGTTGCGAAGCTCGGCTTGGAACGCGTCCAGGACATGCGCGCAATCCAAGCCGCCCAGTTCAAGATGACAGTGTTCGAGCGCGACAACGTGATCGCTGAGGCCGCCCTGAAGGCTGTGAAATCCGACGCCGACGGCGCTCACGAGATGTAGCCTGAACGCCTGCCAGCTGTGTACATCTGGATAGCTATCACCCGTGCGGCGGCCGCCGTCGAGGGCTTCGAAGACGCCCGCAAGAACGCCATCATCATCATCATCATCATCATCATCATCATCATCATCATCATCATCATCATCGTCATCATCGTCATCATCGTCATCATCGTCATCATCGTCACGCGCCGCCAGCAGGTGACGGACCCGGGGCAGGTGAATGATTTCATTTTCACGAGAAAACGGCCAGAACGCTCGACGATAATCATATCAACCTTCATGCTTCATCTCGCTGCGCGCGCTTCCGTGGAGCCTGTGGTCAAAGGTATGTTGCGTGCTGGTCAAGTATCTGGTGGTCGCCAGATGTACGGGCAGGCGCGCAAACGGGGTCTTTAGAGAGACATTCAACGCTTGCTCGAGCAGTTGGGAACGATGGCAGCCGATTGCATTTGAACCCTGGAAGGGGCAGTGCGAGACTTGCGCTCTGCGCCAGTCGGTCCCTGGGTCTTCTCGCTGTGCGCCGTTCCGCATGTCAAGCTCTACGATAGCTACTTCTTCAAGGCGGGCTCGCCTGTGAGAGGGCCGTCGGGGACCCTCCCGTTCATTCGGCGGGAAGGGGCAGCTTGCGCTGCTGCGAGGTGAACGGGGGGGAGGCACAGCTATGCTTAGGATCCAATTCGACATTGTAAATTTTGATGCGGGTATTTGTGGCGTCCTTCTGGCAGTCGGTCACCTCCTCCTCCTCATTCTCCTCCTCCTCCTCCTCCTCCTCCTCCTCCTCCTCCTCCTCCTTTTCTTCCTTCACCATTCCATCGGTGTGATCGGCATGGGCACGGAAAGAATAATGACGAAGGCCGGCAGCAGTTCCTGGGCATTTTGAACAGGGTTCGTTGTCCGTGTCGCTTCGGACGTTCTGTTTTGGGACACAAGGTCGCCCGCCTAACAGCGGCTCCCGTCGGCTTTGAACAACATGCGCTTTTGGGCATCGTCCCCTGGGCGTGCTAAGTGGACGCTTCGCTTCGCCGTCGCGGTCATCCTCAGATCTCCCTCGCGACTTGTTGTTTGTTCCCAACCACCTTGTTGTTGGGCCCTTGTGCTGAAGAGGCAGCGCTCCGCGTGATCCTCACTCCCTCCCGCCTCCTCCTCCCCCCCTCCGTCCTCCCATCCCTGTCCCTGCCCTCCGCGCCAGCCAACCAAGTCGGCGCACCGCTCACACGTTTCGTGACCCCATAGGGAGCTCCACTGGAGGCCCCAGTGGCAGCGCCCGCATGCGGTTCCACCCCTATCTCGGTACGCCCCTCACACGTTGCGTAGCCCTATGGGGAGCTCCACTTAAGGCCCCAGTGGCAGCGCCCTTGTGCGGTTCCACCCCCATGTCGGTGCACCGCTCACACGTGTCGTGGCCACATAGGGGGCTCCACCGAGGGCCCCAGGGGCAACGCCCGCATGCAGTTTCACTTGCAATTTCGGCACATCCATCACAAGTTTCGTGGCCCCATAGGGAGCTCCACCTAAGGCCCCAGGGGCAAAGCCAGCATGCGGTTCCACCTTCCATGTCGACACGTCCCTCACACGTTTCGCGAGCCCATGGGGAGCCCCACCGAAGGCCCCAGTGGCAGCGCCCGCATGCAGTTCCACCCCCATTTCGATGCACCCTCACGCGTTGCGTGGCTCCATAGGGAGTTCCACCGAGGGCCCCACTGGCAGCGCCCGCATGCGGTTCCACCGTCAGTTTTGGTGCACCCGTCTCACGTTTCGTGGCCCCATGAGGAGCTCCACCGAAAGGCTCCAAGGGCAGCGCCCGCATGCAGTTGCACACCCATTTCGTTGCACATAGATTTCACTCACCACCGAAGGCCCCAGTGGCAGCGCCCGCATGCGGTTCCACCGTCAATTTCGGTGCACCCCTCACACGTTTCGTGGCCACATAGGGGGCTCCACCGAAGGCCTCAGTGGCAGCGCCCGCCTGCGGTTCCACCCGCCATTTCGGTGCACCGCTCACATGCTTTATGACCCCACAGGGGGCTCCACCGAAGGCCCCAATGGCAGCGCTCGCATGGGGTGCCACCTATTATTTTGGCGACCAGCTCATACGGTCCGTGGCCCCATAGGGCTATGCCACAGGGAGCTCCACCTGAGGCCCCAGGGGCAGCGCCCGTTGTGCGGTCCCACCGGCCATTCCGGCGCAGATCTCACATGGTTCGTAGCCCCACAGGGAGCTCCACCGAAGTCCCCAGTGGCCCCTGTTGCTGGCCCCCCTCCTCCATTTCATCTTCCTCGCGATGCTGGAGGGCCCCAGTGGCAGCACCCGCATGGTGGCCACCGCCACATTTCGACACACCCTTGACGCGCTGTGTGGCCCCATAAGGAGATCAACCGAAGACGGCACTCAGGACGACGGTACCCACAACTGCACATGGTCGGGTCTTTCGCCGGGCTATTTTTTGGTGTCTCCGTCCCCCTTGCTTGCGTTTCGTTGGCGCCTTTGTTTGGCCCTGGAGGCTCGCTGCCCCCCCTAACGCGCCCTGGGATGAAGAACCTGTCCCGGGGAGTGGACCCACGCCAAGAATCTAAATGAGGCCACTGTCGTCGTTGTCAATCGTCGTCGTCCTCCTGCTCCTCCTCCTGCTACTCCGTTCACTCGATCCTCAGTCCCCCATCCCCTATCCTCTATCCTCCCCCCTCCATCCTGCATTCTCCATGTTTGACTCTCTCCCCATCCTTCATTATCCCGTTCTCATCCTCCGTGCTCCATCCTACGTCCTACGCGTTCCATCCTCCGTCCTCTGTCCTCCAACCTCGTCCTCCTCCCCTCCGTTGGCACCATTTTCTCTTGGGACGTATTTCCCGCATTCTGAGGGGACAGGGGAGGAGGACGAGGATGGTGACGAGGAGGAGAAACAGGGTGAGAAGGATGAGAAAGAGAAGGATGATGAGGAGGATGAGGAGGTGGATGAGGAGGAGCAGGAGGATACTACTAGGAGGAGGAGGAGGAGGAGGAGGAGGAGGAGGAGGAGGAGGAGGAGGAGGAGGAGGACTGGGAGGGAGGAGGTTATTCTTCACGCTTCGCGCATCCCCACCAGCCCATTCGGAAAACCATCCCATCAGAGTTGACGGGAAACTGGGCTAAGCGACACACATAGTAAAACAGAGCGGGCAACCAGGGTGAGCACAGAGATCTTTGGGAGCAAGTGGGTGGTCTTGGAAGGCCTCCTCGGGCCATCCCTGGGGGCCCGCGTGGGTGTGAAAGAAGAGGAGGAGGGAAAAGAGGAGGATGGTGATGACGGTGATGATGATGATGATGATGCTGCTGCTGCTGATGATGATGGTGCTGATGTTGATGATGATGCTGATGATGATGCTGATGATGCTGTTGCTGCTGCTGATGATGATGATGATGATGAACATGATGATGCTGATGATGATGATGATGATGATGATGATGGTGGTGGTGGTGGTGATGATGATGCTGCTGATGATGATGATGCTGCTGATTATGATGATGCTGATGATGATGCTGATGATGATGCTGATGATGATGATGATGATGAGGAGGAGGAGGAGGAGGAGGACGAGGAGGAGGAGGAGGAGGCGGAGGACTACGACGACGATCACCACGACGACGAGGCAGAGGAGGAACAGGAACAGGAAGGGCAAGGACGAGGACGAGGAGGAAGAGGAAGAGGACAACGAGGACGAGGCCAGAGCCGTCAACATCGCCTCTTGGAGCCCTCTTGGGATTCTTTTGGGGGATATTGGGGTCATCTTGGGGCTCTTCTAAGGGGTCTTGGGGCCCTCTTGGGGCCCTCTTAGGGCTCTCGGGGGCCTTTGGGAGCCCTGGAGGGCCTCTTGAGGCTATCGTGGAGGGCGTCGGTGAAACGAGAGGGGGTCGTAACGTTTGGTGCCCCCCCTTGCGGCCATCAAACTCGCCTCTTAGGGCACTCTTGAGGCGCTCTTGGGCCGCTCTTGGGCTCTCTTGGGGCCGTCTATGGGGCCTCTTGGGCCCCTCTTGGGCCTCTCTCTTTGGCCGTCTTGGGGGCATCCAGCAGCGAACGGCTGGTGTGGATTGATTCAGCGTGGAATGCGGCGGTGCTGGGCAACACCTGAACATCAGAGCAAGCATCAAAGCTGGCTTGCGGTGTTGGTTAGCCTACTCGAGCGCCGTCCGCTGTGTTCAGGCCGATCGAGCTCTGCCTCCCTGTCCGCGGCTTCGTTTCCTGGAGCTTGGTCTTCAAGTGTGCTGGTACCTTCGCGAATTACGTCTCACACGAAGGTTAGGTGCTTGCTTGCATGTGTGTCGATCGCTGTTGTCGATCACCCCGTGGTGAAGAGATCACAGGCAGCCGTAGCCTTCCGAGGACCGCACGTCTCGAGGCTGTGCCATTTGATGCGCTACGCTTTGCTGGGAAGACTCGTGCGATTGACCAGCACGGCTGGAGCGTCGGAACACGGCACAGTGGTGCTAAGGGTGACCTGTGCTGCGTTTTGGAGGTAGTTAGTGTCAGTGCGGCCCAATTGGTAGATGGTCTCGTTTTTGTGTCCTGGTATGGGCTTGGCAGCCCTTGCCGTCCGTCGGAGGACGGGCATGAGTGCATCTTCCCCTGGGTGATCGGAGCCTACTGGTCCCAGGACTGCCAGTGCAAAGGGTTTGTCCTGCCTGCCAGCGGATGTGTTGCAGGAGACGGGGTGGGATGCGCTGGTGTATGATACGTCGTCCTCGCCGACTTTATATATATATATATATATAATAAAAAAATATGTGAGTAAAATAAGCAATACGTAATGAAACGCATGATACAAAAACAGAAATCTCAGGGGGCGAGTGCGACGGGGACGTCCCAGTGTAGTGCAGCAAGGCAGACGAGTGGGGTAGAGCCGTCGTCCTTGGAGGGCGCCGGTGGAAACCGCGGGCCCTGGTGGGTCGGGGCGGGAATCTTCGTCCTGTGCACGAGGGCGTGACGCAGCATAGCGACGCCTGTCCACTACAGGGGGAATATTCAAAATAGTAAAACAATAGTCTGGGGACGAATTTTGGAGGGGAAACAATCATTTTTGAGTATTTTGTTGAAATTTTTTAGTTTTCGTCGAGGGTACCCTGTAGGGGGACAGGCCCGACTTAAGTGTAGCTGATTGTGTGTGTTTGTTTCCCGCACAGTCTCATCAGCTCTGGGGGAGCGAGCAACGACATAAACGTAAGAACTCCGAGGTCCGCGCGGACCACCGGGTTTTTCTGTTTATGTCATTCTTCGTTCCCCTAGTCTCGCCCCTAGGCCTACGCTGGTTGGGGCGGTGTTGTCTGTAGATGTTGTCGAGACCGTCTGTGTGCTTGTGAGCGAGTTAGTTCTAAGCAGCGGCTGCTCGGTCGACGCCACCACTGCTCTGGAGTGCGGCGACGCAGCCTTTTTGTCGACTGAAGTTGATACCCAGTGTATCCGTTAAGTTAGCCTTTGGTGGGCGGCCTTTACTTGATGGCTTGGGCTGCGGTGGTGCAGAGGGCGCACCGCGTGGGCTTGCTGGAGCCACGGCGCGCGCGAGCGGAAAGAAGGGATTGTGACACGTATCGGTCCCGTCCGATTGATACATGCTGTTGCAGTCTCGCCGGGCTGGAGGGCGCGGAGGGTTACTCGTCCTGGCTACGCTCTGAGCGCCAGGCGCTGTCGAACCGAGACCGGGGAGGGGTTTAGGACAGGGGTCATATAGGTACCGTACATCGACGAAATGTTGCACCACGTTTTTGCTGTGCATTGGCACCTGTACTGCATTGCTCTTGCCCCTCCCCTCCCCCCCGATCTTAATATTGGGTGGCGAAGAGCCCCTGTTCCGCCCAGGTGCTCCCGACAAAATGTTGCACCACCGAGCTGTTTCGACCAGCCCGGACCGAGGGGGGGGGGAAAAACGATTGATATAACAGCGATGCGATTTATTGTCAGCGCCAGGTGGTGCAACATTTTGTCGATGTCCCGTAGGGGGGCAGGGGAGGAAATCAGCATGTACAGGCACGGGGTGTGTGGCCTACGGAGGGCGGGGTGGAACGCAGGAGGATCAGTGCCGATGTCTCGTCCGCCTCGTTTGTTGGCCTCCTTTGTCCTCCCAGGAGTACAGTGCACGATGCTAGGAATGGTAGGCAAGCGCTGTCCTCGCAGGGCCAGGCTGCGAAGTTAGCCAGGGGCCTGCTGCGAGAGCTAACTCAGCTTGGCGAGGTCCGCAAAAAGTTGCCAGTGCAGGCGCGAGGGGACGTATGGAAGCTTGCGCACGAGTTTCTGCCCGCTTGTGCAGGGGCGTGCGGGCGCGACTGCAACAGCTGTGCCCGCGTATCGTCTGCGCGCGCAGCCGTGTGCGTGCGCCTTAAGTGGGTGCCCGCGGGTAGCTGGGCGTGCTTGCGCACGTTGGAATGGCGGGATCTCGTCCGCGCGAAGTCTATTCACGTTGGAGCTGCTCGTCTGGTCCAGGGCGTTTTTTCGTCGTCGTGCTCATCTTCTTCTCCTCTCCAGGGGTCGGTGGGACAAAGCTTGGGAGGGGAGGGATTGAGGGAGGGATGGAGGGAGGGAGGAGGGAGGGGGGAGGAGGGAGGAGGAGGAGGAGGAGGAGGAGGAGGAGGAGGAGGAGGAGGAGGAGGAGGAGGAGGAGGAGGAGGAGGCGGAGGAGAAGGGGGAGGAGGAGGAGGAGGAGGAGGAGGAGAGGAGGAGGAGGAGGAGGAGGAGGAGGAGGAGGAGGAGGAGGAGGAGGAGGAGGAGGAGGAGGAGGAGGAGGAGGATGAGGAGGAGGAGGAGGGATGCGGAGGAGAAGGAGGAGAAGGAGGAGAGAGGCAAGCAGGGAGAAACTGCGGGGAGGGCGGGGGGAGGGGGGCCCAGGCCCAGTGGCACGGCGGCGTGGGGCGCCCTTCGGATTGCCCGCTGCAGCAGCGTGGGGTGGTAAGTCTTGCCGCCCCTCCAACTCCTAACGCCCGGAGGTTCCCAGAGGCCCCCGGAGGTCCCAGGAGGCTCCAGTTTGGTAGCAAATCATGGGAGCGTCGTGTACTTTCGCAATTCGTCTTTGGAGTGCGTTAGCGTCTGCTAGCGTCTGGTAGTCGATGATGAGAAAGCGCCGATGTAGCGTCGATTAGCGTCGGCTAGCGTCGACTTATTCTCGATTGGCGTCGGTGATCGTCGATCAGCGTCAGTTCGCAAGTGCCAGCAAGACGTTAGGGGATGCTACCATGGGTTGCCACCGAGCTCCAGAGGCCCAGATCGAGTCAAGAGCAATGTTTGCCAGCATGGGTCCCAGACAGTGGGTTGTCGCACTCCCGCTGTGTACCGTCTACGGTGCAACCTATGTAATGCAACCTATGTGGTGCCAAATGCATGGTGCAGTATGTGGGACACATTACTTATGTAGTGTACTGTGTTTACTGGTGTAGTCTGTATGGTGCAGGCAAGCTAGCTCGTGCAAACTATTCGGTAACGCCATACGTGGAGCGCAATCTGGACGTTTGCCGCATCAGGGGTGCAGTATGTGAGTGCAACATGCGAAGCGCAAGCTATAAAGGGTGGAGTCTCTGGAGTGACATCTTTGACATGCCATGGGTGCCCAGCACGTAAGTGTATCCTCCTCTGTTGCCCGACGTCTTCTGCCATTTGGGCTCCGCCGCTCGGCCGATGTTGAACAACGGCTGGTCGCAGGTGCTGGCTCTTGGGGCTTGCGCCCTCGACGCCGCGCGGCGGCGGGTCAGCAAGGTGCTGCGTTGCTGTGGCTGTGGACTTCTCGGCTCCCGCCTAGCGCTCCAGGCGGGCGAGCTCGAGTGCGAGGAGACACTCGGGCAGGTAGCGGCGGCCGCGGACCTCAGCATGAAAAGATGCACGGGCTCCGCCGAGGGAGTTCGTCGACCAGGCAGTGGGCGAGGAACCGCTACGCAAGCGGGTGAGGGCGCTCCACGGCCGCACCGAGCAGGCCATGCCGGAGGACGCCGTGGCAGGCCTAGTGGCCGTGTGCAATGAGGAGGAACGTGAGGCCATTCCGCCGCCGGGGGCCTGCGCGCTGGCGGGAGGCCGCTATGCGCGGACATGCCGCACTGCCGCTGACGTGAGCCGCGGCGAGCTGGACGTCTGATCGTAGATTCGCAGGGTTCCTCGCATGCCCCAGCTGCCCAGCGAGACGAAAACGATTTCTCTGGAGGTGGCGCGGTCCTGCATGGCCCAGCAGCGAGCGATCGATGGCATCACGGGCCGCACGCGCCTCAACACAGTGAGGTCGCGCGTGCGTGCGGGCGAAACGATGCGCTGGCGGCCCCTGCGCGCGCAGCGTCCCGCGGCCGAAGACTGCTGCACACTTCATCGACGGCGTGCGCGCCAGGTCTCCCTGTCTGTTCGGAGTTCGCTTGTAGGCGACCCGCCCTGGAGAGCGGGTGTCGCCCCCATAGCCCGTGGGTTCGCGAGATCTGGCTCTGTCAGGGTCATGGGTGCCTTGTTTCTTTGAGCCCAGAGAAGGGCGGGAGGCCGTCTTTCGTTGTGAATGTTGAAGCCCGGGTAAAGTGTCGGGGCCCATCTCTACGCTCCGACTGTCCCCCGGTCGCCTCGGCTGGACCATGGCTGTTTTTTTGTACTTCGACTGACGATGTTGGTCGGCATAGCAGCTTTACCATGAACCCCCCACCGTGTCAACCTGTTATGTACAGGAGCGGTGTGGAGGTACCTTGCAAAAGGCTAGGTGGAGCAGTTTGGGGTAGGACATCGTCTGCGCTGGGGTGTTGCGAAGACCCTGCTAGGATCCTCTAAGGTCTCCAACCAGGACACGGGCCTGATGAGGGTCGTCGCGTGTAGCGGCTTCGTTGTCGGCGGCTGACGCGGTCGCTGCTGGAAATTCTAAGGTATCTCCTTCGTGCACGTTATGTGGCTACGGGGCGTCATTCTCTTTCACCACATTCGGACATGCTGATCTCCTGTGGTGGCTGAACAAGGTGATAAGGTTGTGCCAGCCTGGGCTCGTGAAACAGCATTCGGCGTGTCGGCAGAGGGTTCTGGTGTTTTTTTTGCGCGGCGCGTTTCAACACCCTGGTGATGTGCTCCTTGGGCCTGCTCGTGAAGGTGGAGTTGAGATCCAGTGCAATGTAGAAGCGCTCCATGCTCCTTTCCCTGGCTCTCCTGTTCCTCGCCCGTCAAACGAAGTCTGGGGACTGGGGACATGTTTTCACTGACGCCTCATGTCGGCGTCATTTGGTGGTTTTTGAGCTTTCCAGGAATGCCTGGGCTGAGCCATGGCGGCTGAGGACGGGGCCCTCTTTGGTGAAGTCATGGGCCGTGATGGGTTCACTGCCATCTGACAGCCCAGGGGGCTGAATTGAGAGCTTCTGATTTTCTCAAACTGCAAGGTTCCCTTCCGAATGCGGAGGCTCTCTCGTACAAGAAACAATACGCGGAAGCCATCCTGCAGACGCGCCACTTGTTCGGCCCTTGTCTTCGACTGATCGCGAAGGTGAGTGCACATTGTGACACGAATGAAGGGGGCACCTGCGCCCGCGATCATTTTCTCAGGCTCGTTAGTTTGTATGTTGGCCACGCCGCGATATGCGCTTTGGGTGGGCAACCGTCGGCGACGCCTGCAGCTCTCGAGGAGCTGGATCGGCATATCGATATCGTATAGCAAGTTCATAAGCTTGGAGCTGCAATTTTACTGGACTGGGCTGTTGTAGAATTCCCTGGCACTGCTTGTGCTCCACTTCCGCCTCCGAAGCTCAAGTTTGTTGTGTGTCACTCGTGGATCCGTGCGAGTGGCTTCTGGTGTTGTGGAGTTTGCTTGAGGGTATCCACGGCTGTGGAGGATGAGTCTCCCCCAGACACTGTTTGTGCAGGCCGGTCAACATTCGACCAAGGTGTCTGGGCGAGGCTTGGGCATCAAACGATCGCTTTACCATGATTTGATTCCTTCCGTCTCTCTTTGCGTGGAGCTCAGGTGGTCGGTCTCAGTAGATCCTGCAAGCCGCCCACCGCTACTGGCATCAAGCATTTCACGGGTTTAAAGCGTGGCTTCCACTCAGACGAGGACGGAACCGATGTTGATTTCGACGAATTCATACGCTTGATGCGAATTTGTTTGGTCAACGGAGCTGTTTTCGATTGTGGGACTTGTTAGCGTCTCTTATTTAGGCACGCCTGGAGGTCTCCCTCTCGTGGCCTTGCCTTTAGCTTTCTGGTCCCGTGCGCGCCCGTCTTCGTGCGTAGGCTCGTGCTACCCGTTGTGTCTTACCCACGGATAGTATTGCTCAGCCTGCTGAGTGTCCTGATTGGCCGCGCGGGATGAGAGTTCCAGCTTGTGGCGAGGATGGCACGATACAGGCTGCAACCTCTTCTTTCTTGCTCCCTGGCCACTCGTGCCGCGGCCAAGCGATGTGGGCGTCCGCGCAATGAGTGGACGACCATGGTACAGAGAGAGTCATTTCGTGCCAATCTGAGTTCTAACCTTGGGCATGATCAGAGCATGCATGTGGCAGCACAGCGCTGTACAGTACCGTCAGCGTCCACGCGTCTCTGGCGTATGACTTGTGTATGTGTGTACCCTCAGACACTGATGCATTCAGGACCTCCCGAGCTGCACGCTCTTGGTTGGGGTTCCTGGCTCCATGTGTTCTGGCATCCTGTGTTCGCCACCGCTGAAATCAGTCCTACATGTGACGCATTCGTTCGTTTTTTTCTCTCAGGTTTGTCTTAACGCAGGCTGCTTGATATTCCGTTCAGCGGTGCAATTGTTTGCCTGTGCCTCTCAGCCGCATTTGTTGTGATAGAGGCAATTTCGTCGATGGCAAGAGGATGAGAGGGAGGAGGAATAGGAGGAAGAGGAGAAGGGGGAGTAGGAGGAGGAGGAGGAGGAGGAGGAGACGGAGGAGGAGGAGGAGGAGGCGGATGAGGAGGAGGTGGAGGAGGAGGAGGAGGAGGAGGAGGAAGAGGGAGGAAGAGGAGGAGGAGGAGGACGAGGAGGTGGAGGAGGAGGATGAGGATGAGGATGAGGATGATGATGATGATGATGAGGAGGAGGAGGAGGAGGAGGAGGAGGAGGAGGAGGAGGAGTTACCATACGCTCCCTGCCGCCGTCGATGTATATATAACCACGTACGCAGACACATGCACAGCTGTGTGCAGCTATTCGTGGTTCGGAGAGGAAACAAGGTCCGCGCCTGCCCCTGCGCGCGTGCTCATAGTGTATACTTTCCTTACCCAAAGCTTGGCAGGATACACATATC